TCGGGAGGTTGGGTGGTGCCTTTTTTGCTCATCATCATTCCACCGCAGTAGTTGAAGCCGTGTGTGTGCACTTTTTGCACCTCCATTGTGCAGTCGATGTGTTGGTCCACCGAAAGCCTTCACATGCAAATGATAAACACTTCACTGGCATAGGCAGTGGTGGTGGGGGCGAGCTGTATAACCGACCAGTTAATACAAAATAAATGGTCTAGGATCAATGCGCTCTCTCTCAACTGAAGTCCACATTTAACGTCACTTCCTTACAGCTTCACACTTGCAGTGGTGGCCGATGAATAAATCGGCCATATTTTCAATGCCACCTGTTTTTAGTTATTTCAAAACGCTTCTATCTCCGCTTTCCCTGAAGGTAACTCAGAAGTCGATTCGTGGCGACAGCTGCTTCACTAATGTACTTTTGGCCTATCGATGATCTTCATCAAGACCAGCCGTTTCAACCTTTCTTTTTCGTATCAGAAGTTGGCTTACTTTTAACACTTGTAGGTAAAATCTCCAAATGCAAACACATGTAGTTGTGGCAAATGTTTCACATTCCACCAACCGACTTGTCAGGTCATGATGCTTTGGTCTGTGATGTTATCCAGAAACAGCATCACAAAACTGGGTGTTAGTCGCCCTTTTCTTGACAACTACCTGATGGGTTCGAACATTCAGCATTTGGCAATTATGTCCAGAATGTGACATTTCTGTCTTCATTACCAGCTTTAAATGGCACTGTTATTGCCTTGTCCTGATGCAAAACATTCGGGCAAACCAATAATGTGCGGCTTCTCCTTCCGAGTTCCCTCTTTCCTTTAAGTCATGCGGCAATGGGATTCCATAGTGGTATCAGCATCTCGGTTTCCTTGGACTTCTCAATTTCGCCATCAGCCATCAGTAGCATCGTTATGAGAATGAGCTCTTACTTAGTGGACTTCTCTTCATAATTAGACTCGCTGCCAGGCCGCCATTTTGGTGCAATAGATATCCACCTCTGCGAAGGCTATCAACGTTTTAAGTATCTATTTTTAAGTTCATGAATCTTGTTCTGTTGAATATTACTGCCATAAATCCAATCGAATTCGAAGCAAAGGCTGCTGTAGCCACTCTCACAGTTTGCGCTGTGGTTTTCAAGTGCCACAACCCAATCAATGACCCGAATGTGACTTTCCGATGAATGTAATGGAAGTAATAAACGCCATCGTGTGGAGGGGACTTTACGGCTTCTGCCTTACTGGATGTGCGCGTCCCCTCGGTCGGTATGGCTGGCCATACGTTTTGTGCGCCTTATCACACAGTCATGATCTGGCCTGGCATGTCCTTGCGGAATTGCCTGGCCTTTCCTCAGTTAGTTGATTTTCTTGCCCCTATTCTGTGGCCATTGATATGACAGTAATGAATTT